AAATTTTTAAGTGAATTTAACAGATCTTCAAATTAGAACTGCATTTCCCATAGGTATGCTCAATTTTATTTTATTTTTGCACCTGCCAACCAGCTACTCATATTCTGTGCTCTGACCAGAAACATTATATTGTCTGTTGAACTTTGATGACTATAATTCTATAAATTCTGCCTTTTCCAGAAGCCTATTCATTTGTTCACTCTGCCTCCCACACATGCCATTGGCAGTTGTGTGGCGAGGATGGAGACCAGCTTGTTTCAACAATTTTTTCCAGCTGGATGTGTTTGTGTGTGGGGATATTTTAGATCTGTGCCTTAGGTTTTTATTTCCATTTTTTAAAGCCTACCCTTATTATTTTAATTGTTTTGTATGGTTGAGACACATGAGAGGATTTTAAAAAAATAAAAATAAGATGAAACATATAAGCAGGGATGTCCTTGGCAGAACCCCCCTTGGTGGTGATGGTGATGATGACGATGACGACGACGACAACAACAACTTTATTTATACCCCGCCCATCTGGCTGGGTTTCCCCAGCCACTCTGGGCGGCTTACAACATAACTAAAACCATAATAAAAACATCAATCCTTAAAACCTTTTCTAAACAAGGCTGCCTTCAGATGTCTTCTAAAAGACAGATATTTATTTATTTCCTTGACATCTGAAGGGAGGGTGTTCCACAGGGCGGGTGCCACTACCGAGAAGGCCCTCCGCCTGGTTCCTTCCTTGTAACTTCGCTTATTGCAGTGAGGGAACCAGAAGACCCTTGGAGGTGGACCTCAGCGTCCAGGCTGAGTGACGGGGGTGGAGACGCTCCTTTAGGTATACTAAGCTGAGGCCCATTAGGGTTTTAAAGGTCAGCACCAACACTCTGAAATGTTGCACAAAAAAATGTTGTTTTAAAAAAATTAAGAAGTAATAACTTCTTTTCTGTGGTCTCCTCCGTCGCGTGGCCTTCCTCTGGGCCCCGGCCTGCTCTCTTGGGAGTGCTAGTCGTTGTGGAGTAGGCCCGGGTTGGGCCTGGGCTCAGCCATGTGTCCTTGCCCTCCCGGTGCTCCCCTACCTCTTCTTCTCAGCGGCAGCAGCTGCTCTCCTCCTTCTTCCTGCGTCGGCTCTGGGGTTTTCCTGGCCCCGGAGCACCGCTGGGCAGTCAGCCGGGTTCTCCTGCTCCCGTCTCGATTTGGGTCGCGGGAGGAGGGTCAGCAGTTCCCCCAGTTGACATGCCAGGCGTCCCCGGTTCCCCCTCGTCAGTGGCAGCGGCAGTCTCAATAGCCCGGAGCCAGCCTGGTAGTGCAGTTGGCTCTGGCTGGCTTCATGAGCTGCTCGCTGCTGTGGTGCCCGCCATTTTTCCCTACCATCTGTGACTAGATTAAAGACTTTCTGATAGATCGGACACAAACAGTGAGGATTGGACGTGTAACATCTAATTCCTTAAAAATCAGCACTGGCACACCACAGGGATGTGTGCTAAGTCCTTACCTGTATTCATTGTATACATACGATTGTGTATCATCTGACCTGTCTATTGCAATTATTAAGTCTGCAGATGACACCACCATAATGGGTTTAATAACAGGTGGATACGAATCAGCGTATAGAGGGGAGGTCCAAAAAATATCTACATGGTGCCTATGGAACAACTTGCACCTTCATATCAGCAAGACAAAGGAGATGGTGTTGGACTTTCGGAGGAAGAGAGGAGAACTAGCCCCGCTGTACATCAGGGAGGGCTGTGTGGAGAGAGTCTCTTCCTTTGAATTCCTAGGAGTTTATCTCACTGAAGACTTTACTTGGAAAATAAATACAACCCAGGTGGTTAAGAAAGCCCAACAGAGACTCCATCTCCTCAGAGTCTTGCGGAAGAACAATGTCAATCAACATCTTATGATCTCCTTCTACCGGTCAACAATAGAAAGTGTCCTTTCATACTGCATCACGGTGTGGTACACTGGTTTGACATCATCTGATAGGAAGTGCCTACAGAGGGTGGGGAATACAGCACAAGATATTATGGGCTGTCCCATGAATCCACTGGATGACATTGCAGAAGAACATTGCCTCAGGAGAGTGAGGAAAATTCTCAGGGATGATTCACACCCTGGCCGGCACTTTCTTGATCTCCTGCCCTCAGGCAGAAGATATAGAAGCATGGTTAGTCGCACCAACAGGGTAAAGAACAGCTTCTATCCGTGGGCTGTTAGGCTGCTGAATGAAAAGATAACAACAGGGCAATTGACTTTCGGGTTTGGTGGGTGTGCATCAGTAAACAAGGGGAATTAAAACTTAAGAGAGCTGAGTGGGGGGTGCTCGTGTAATCTCACTGTATACAAGTGACAATAAAGTATTTCAATTTTAATTTTGCCTCACTGGGAGTCTCCATATGATGTGTCTTGTGCCGTTAAAGCAATCACACAACATTCCCTACTAATAAATCTACAACACTTAAAATACAAATCCGGGGACATTAAATGAAATCCAGGGACATTCCAGGGATGGATTTTGTCCAGGGACAGATTTGTAAATCCGGGGACTGTCCCCAGGAAACGGGGATGTCTGGTAACCATAGCCTTAAAAGGTTAATGCCCCCAGAGTTAGTGGAAGTGATGATAAGTTGCAGCGGCAAAGGCAAGAGTAGCTGAAAAACAAACCAAGCTTTGGAGTAACGAACCACGATTTGTATGCCCTTTTGCAGGATGACTTGTGATTTGTGGAACAAACAGTGGTTAAAACAAACCATGGCTTAGTGTTATAAGCCATTTAAATACCAGTCAACAACTAGGCCACATAATCTCCTAAAATTTTCCCAAAAAGAAGCTTATAGTGATTTATATTCTTAAATAAAAGACACATCATAAGACAAGTTATATCGATGACTGGTGTATTATCTATATCTCTCTATGTATTCACTCTCAGTTATTTCTAAGAAATGAAATCCCAAAAAATTAGTATGAACGATGCATCGTAGATAATGTGAATTGATACGTCTTTTATTTATATGATTTATTATTCGTCATTTCTCCCTAAGGTTCCAGGGTGAGTTACAGCAATTTAATCATACAATTGAAAAAGTAAAACGGTTTGTATGCAATTATAAAAGCAGATAAAGCAATTCAAAGCAAAAGCACCAGGGTATAAATCAAATATTTCTGAGCATTATCTATTTAGATAATACAGTGGGTTGAACAGACTATCTTTGCTGAGATTATAGATAATGCTGCATTTGGGAGTATGCTTCCTACCCTGTGATTAATATTGTAAGAGTAGCTATTAAGTAGCCTTATCATCAGAATAAGCCTCTTTAAGTCCTCCACATTTTTTCCTGTGGTGAATGGCTAGACTGCCCAAAGTTTCGAGGTGTCAACTCTAAAAAGACTCTAAGTTTGATGGAGAGTAAAGGGGGGGACATGCCTATATTGCAAAGGTAGGAAGCTTAACCATTCTTCTTTACCTAAGAACACTGGGATGATTAACATCCTTGCACAACTCTAATCCCCAGGGACAGAACTCACTTGAACAGTGATTCCTTAAGTATGTAGGACTGATAGGCCTCCAGTCACTAATTATCTCCATTTTTAGCTGCAGCCAGGAAGCAAACTCGGCTCTGCATCTATATGGGACCCACTCCTGTGCCTATTCTTTAAACCTTGCTTTCTCTTGCTGATATTATATCATAAACCACTGTATGATACTCTTGTTTTGTTTTGTTTGTAATAAGGGCTAGATGCTGTTGTTGGCCACTGCTTCTTGCTTTCGCTGTTCCAAACTTTTCTCTCGTCTTCTGCCGCTTGGCAGTGCAGAGATTCTCAACTTTGAATACTTCTCATTTGGAGAGAAACTTCGGAAGGCGGTGTGAAGAGTAGCTTGGACATAAATGATCCGATGCACCAATCCCACTCTTCCCAGGGAAATTTTTGTGTGGTGAGCAGCAGGCCTGGTAGGGAAAGGTGAATAGTTCAACTTCCCTGCTAACCCATCCCACCCCCGTCTGGAGTTTCTCCAGTTCAACCCCATATATTGGGAGTGTGAACTAGAGGGCTACCCTCAAACCATCTGATGAGCCTCCAGCGGCAGGCACGTTCTACCTCAAATCCAGGAGGAGCGACAAACGGCGCGGGGGGGGGGAGGGAAGGTGTATCTGGACAAATTTGACAGCCGAAATTTGGTGGCTCCGACTGAGCCCTTGGCGAGGAGCTGCTTCTCAGTCCCATGCGCCCCCTCACTTAGTTGGATCTCCTTAGGTAGAGGGGAAAGAAAGAAAGAGAGAGAGAAAAGAGATTTGCGATCATTTCATTTCATATACATACTATATGTCATGGCACATCCCCACCCGTCGGTGCACGTGCCTCCAAGACCTACTTGTGAGTAAAAAAAAGAACATGAAACTCGGTGGGCTTACTCGCGAGTAAACACGCAGGGCTTCTCCACCCCACCCCACCCCCTTGGATCCAGCAGTCTCTCAGCTGCTGAGCCCCCGGGGATATTTCCTCCCGTCCGCCCCCGGCTCCTTGTCTCTCTTGCTCAATCCACGCTCTCCTTCCTCGCCTCCCTCCCTCCCCGGCAGCGGCTGCTGCTGCTGCCCCGCCTCCTCTTTGCTCGGGAGAAGCGCCGCCCAGCTTTCCCTTTAAGAGCTGCGCCTCCGACTGACGTCTCGGCGAACGCAGCTCTTTTGGAATGTATGCAAACGAGCCCTCTCCCGCCCCGTCCAACGGCGAGGCGAGCCCGGCCCCCGCCAGCCAACGGCGCGCGGCCGCCGCTGAGGGGTCGGCCAATAGATGCAAAGCGCCGGCTCGCACCATATAAGGAGCGCCCTCGCCATAAAAGGCAACATTGTATCGCTTTATATGGGGGGAAAGGCAGCGCGGCAGGAGGAGGCGGCGGCGAGGAAGGAGGAGGAGGCGGAGGGAGCGAGGGGGCTCCCCGGGCCGGCGCGGGTCCTGCGTGGAGCGTGAGCGAGAGGCTCGCGAGGCGGGCGAAGGCGGCGGCGGCGGCAGGGCAGAGCGAGAGCGCGGAGGGGGCCGGGCCCAGCCTGCCGGCTCCGGGGCCCATGGCAGCGCCGGCCTGACCCGACCCGTCCGTCCCACACTGGCGCTGAGGGGAGGCGGCGGCGGCGGCACCATGTTACCCAGCGGGGCCGGGAACGGCGCTGCCGCCCTGCCCCGGAGCTCGGTCATGGGCATGGCGAGGACGTCCTCGGGCCGGCCGGGCGCGGGGCTGTCCCGCGGGGCGAACGGCGGCGGCGGCGGCGGCGCTGCTTCTTCTTCTTCTTCGGCGGCGGCGGCGGCTTCTGCGGGAGTGCGCGGCGGCCCGGGCAACGGGACGGGCCCTCCGAGCGGCCCTGGGGCAGCCGCGGGTCGCTTCGAGCGCGACCGGGACTTAGGGGCGGCCGTGGCGGCGGCGAGCGACAGCGAAGGCAACTCGGAGTCTGGCGAGGAGGAGGAGCTGGTGGGCGACCGGCGCGGCGTGAAGCGGACTTTGGGCGACATGGAGCTCGGGGTGGTGGTGGGGGGGCCCGAGGCGGCGGCCGTGGCGGCGGCTGCAGCGGCTGCAGCGGCGGGGGGCTACGGCGGGGCGAGCGGCGCCGTCAGCGGCGCCAAGCCGGGCAAGAAGACCCGCGGCCGCGTCAAGATCAAGATGGAATTCATCGACAACAAGCTGCGGAGATACACCACGTTCAGCAAGAGGAAGACGGGCATCATGAAGAAGGTAACCGGGGCGGGGGGGGGGAGAGGGCAGATCGCGTGTAAGGGGGGCTTATTTCTGGATAATAGGGGTCCTGTGCTGCTCCTCTGCCTGTAGAAAGGGGATGGAGCTCTTGACATGCTCGGAAGCACCGTTGTCTCAGCTGCACGTGCTCCGTCGGAGCGCCCCGAGTCAATGCAACCGTCGGCTTTGGAGAGAGCAGCTCCGGGCTGGCTGGTTCTTGGGCAATTGACACCGGAAGGGGAGCCAGCCATGGGCCTAGCCAGCCAGCCCCGGCACCGGAAAGGCACGCCCCGCTCTGGCCCGGATTCAGCTCCAGGAAGGCCTCCCGCCGCCCCCCCGGTCGTTGCGCGAGCCCTTCACTTCGAAATGCATCGCGGAAAGGGGGAAATGCAGCGGAGGGGGTCACCTCGGATGTTTTCCCAGCCCGGGTTGCGTTCGGGTGAAAGGTCGGGGCAAATCCGTTGCAGCATCCTCGGGGGAGAAAGGTGCGACTGTGTTTTGCAACAGGGGATTCCCCACCCCCCTCACGAGCCTGCAAATCAGTAGGTAAACTTGGAGACCCCTGTCCCTTACTTACCTCGTGCAGAAGAAGCCCCATTGAGTTCAGTGGGGCTGGGCTTGCAACATGCACGTGTTAGTTTGGGTGTGCTGGGTGTTTGCTTCCCTGTAAAGTAGCAGTGGGTGCAACTGACAGGCTGACCCAGAGCCTGGAACTAAACAAAACTCCAGCCAGTCCCCTGGTGGGATTCCTCTGCTGATCCCTCTAGTTTTGAGGGCAAGAATCACAGTGCCATCCTGTGCTTGTCTACTCAGAAGAAAGTCCTATAGAATTAAATAGGGATCGCTCCCCACTGTGTACAGAGTTGAGCCTCTGTTGGGAACTGAGTCTGCAATCCTAAACATGGTTACTAGAGAGTAAGCCCCCATTAACCACAGAGAGACATACAGCCAAGTAGACCCACATAGGTTTGTGCTGTGGGTGAATCAGGCTTGACTCAGGGATAAGGAACTTGTGGTCTTCCAGATGAGGATGGACTTTGATTTCCATCGATCCCAGCCCATTGTCAGGGGTCAGAGACTATCGGTTCTCCATCCCTGATTTAAAGCTTGATTTAGGGACGCGGGTGGCGCTGTGGGTAAAACCTCAGCGCCTAGGGCTTGCCGATCGCATGGTTGGCGGTTCGAATCCCCGCGGCGGGGTGAGCTCCCGTCTTTCGGTCCCAGCTCCTGCCCACCTAGCAGTTCGAAAGCACCCCTAAGTGCAAGTAGATAAATAGGTACCGCTTTATAGCGGGAAGGTAAACGGCGTTTCCGTGTGCTGCACTGGTGCTGGCTCGCCAGAGCAGCTTCGTCACGCTGGCCACGTGACCCGGATGTGTCTCCGGACAGCGCTGGCCCCCGGCCTCTTAAGTGAGATGGGTGCACAACCCTAGAGTCGGACACGACTGGCCCGTACGGGCAGGGGTACCTTTACTTTTATATGTTAGGGCTCCTTCTTGAGACAGGCTTGCCCCTTAATGTGTTTTTTAAAAACTTTCTTCCTGTTTAGGAACAGCATTAAAAGTTATTTATGATTCTAATAACTTTTAATGCTGTTGGAGGGGACCCTGAGGGTCATGTAGACCCTAAAATTGAGTCTCATACTCTACCTACTGAGCTACATCTCAAGCTTAAAAAATGATTTGTTAGCTACTATGGTTAAGATTCATCTAACAAACCCTGTCAACAGAAGCCCTACACAGGGACTCCCGTTTGTGCAGTGGGGCTATCCCTGCCCCTATGTGCCCCTGAAATTGGCTGGGTTTGGGGTCGGAATAACCTCCAGGACAATGTGTGGGGTAGCAGAGAGGGATCATGCCATCTGGTAAGCTGAAATGGTTGTGCAGATGGGACTGGAACAGCCGGATGCTGAATTATTCCTTTTGCTTTTAAATCTGGGTTTTAGGTTAGCAGAATCATTTTCTTCTCGTTCCCTTGAGGATGGCACAGTTCTCCCCGTTCACTGCAGTGTTTTATCTGAATTTGTATAGGATGCTGCAAGAGCAATCGCAAACAACTTTGGTTTAGGAAGAGGCAGATAAGGATAGGGCCATAGAGTTTTATAAAAGTATGCATGCATCTTGCAATACTAGATCCTGGGGCCACTCAGTTAAAACTGAATGGGCGAGCAAAAGAAAGTTGAACTATGAAATTCTCTCCTACAAGGGTGTAGTGATGGACACCAACTTGGATGGCTTTAAAAGAGATTTAGACAAACTCATGGAAGTTAATGCAACTAGCTACACTGCCTTGTGTTTTGCCTCCATTGTCAGAAGCAACATGCCTTTGAATACCATTTGCTGAGACTCACAGGTGGGGAGAGTGCTGTTGCGCCAATGTCTTGCTTGCAGGCTTCCCCACAGGCGTCCGGCCGGCTGCTGTGAGAAACAGGATGCTGGACTAGCCATGGGCCTTTGGACAGATCTAGCTGAGCTCTTCAAATCTTGGTTGCCGGACTAGGATTTAAGCAGTCCAGACAACCTGTAGCAGTCCAAATTGTGGCCTGTATGAAGATTTGGCAGCTGTATTGTGCCATAAGCTTATGTCACAATTCATTTACTGGTCTTTAAGGTAACCCTGAGAGCCTTGGTTGTGTTAAAACCATCAACATCGCCCGCTCTTTTTCAGGGAGGTATTACGATGTTTGAGGTGTCAATACCAGACTTTTAAAAACACAGTGGTGCAGAACTTTCCATACCAGTTAATATTCTCTCACTCCTTCTGTTCCTCCATCTTTGTCAACACACAGAAATCATTAATTTTACCCCATTTTAGCTATGTCCTTACATATACAGTGGACGCTTGGGTTGCGAGCATGATCCGTGCGGGATGCACATTCGCAACCCGCAGGGGTTGCAGTTCTGCGCTTCTGCACATGCGCTGCCGCCGAAACCTGGAAGTAACCCGTTCCGGTACTTCCAGGTTTCGGCAGTCCGTAACCTGAAAAAACACAACCTGAAGTGTCTGTAACCCGAGGTATGACTGTATTGGCTTATGGTGCTATAACTTTTTTGCCTGGGGAGATGCTTATTTTCCTCAGGTGAGTCATAGGCTTGTTTGCTACAAAGTTGCTGGGCAGGCCGAAGAAAAGGATGCAGCGTGCACCAAGGGTTCATGTATGCACTGTTCACAGTGGTTGCTGTGCCATTTGAACCTCATAGGGTATGACAGGAAGGCCAGCAGTAGGTGGAGCTAGAGTCAGGGATGCAGCCAAGTCATTCTACATTTGCCCCTGTTCTCCTCCCCTACGGCCGCCAGACTGGTGACTGGGAGTGGCCGCTGGGACCATATAACACCAGATCTACATTGGCTCCCAGCACAATCCAAAGTGTTGGTGCTGACCTTTAAAGTCCTAAACAGCCTCGGCCCTGTATACCTGAATGAGCGTCCCCACCTGCATTGTTCAGCCTGGACACTGAGGTCCACCTCCGAGGGTCTTCTGGTGGTTCCTTCACTGCAAGAAGTGAAGTTACAGGGAACCAGGCAGAGGGCCTTCTTGGTAGTGGCACCCTCCCACCAGATGTCAAGGGGAAAAGGGGGTTGCTGAGGCTGAGGTGGGGGTTGGCTGAGGATAGACTTGTGGGCTAGCTCACATGCAGCAGCATCCACTGGACTGGTAGTAAAAGGGCAGGCAGGTAGAGGCTGATTCAGGGTAGTGGGGCAGTGTGCTGAGAGTTTCTAGAATCCACTAATTTATTTAGGATTACAGATGAAGGCGTGGTTTGAGAACACATCATTCAGCCCCCTTCCAGAAGCTATGCAGGTCTGGATGGGAGCTCCATGGTGACCACCTCAGGTTTCATTGTGGAAGAAAAGCCCAGATATAACTGCATAAAATAAAATCGCAGCTTGCTTTATTTTTGATCAACAACTCCACAGTATATATAGGAAAGTCCCAACATTCTGCATGTGTTTTAAGTGTTTTGAACATGTTCCCACTCCTAGAGCCCCATCCCAAGTATTAGACATCTTTACCTGAGCTGCAAAATATAATTTTTTTTAAAGGCAAACGGTACACACCCATAGAAACATCATGTGCAAGTGCAACTCTTCCTAAACCACTCAAGCAGTTGCTCAAAGAGAATGACAATTGTTCCCTTCCCTGCCTTTTAAGGGGGGTGGAACAATGCTGTTTGGCTAAAACTCCCATAAACCCTGACCATTGGGCTTGGTAGAGGAGTTCGTTCAGTGGAAAGAGTGAAAAGTAAACTCCACTTTATTTTAAAGCACGTATGTGGAACTTGTGGCTTTCCAGATGTTCACCTCCAGCTCCTACCAGCTCCAGTCAGCATGGCCATTGGAAGTTATGCTCCAGCAATAACTTTACGTTAGCAAACTGTATCCCAGGAAGGTGGCTCACAGATTTTCAGAAGCATCTTGAAGCCATCATCCTTAAAGTTGTTTGGAAGTTGATAAGTTTGGAAACTGGTGTGTTTTGCAGCTTGGCTTCTATGCCCCAACTTAATGGTGAATGTCTCCTGATGAGCAATGATTAGGAAACAGTGACAAATCCCCAAAAGGGAGTGGTATCTTTTTGCCTGAAATCTGTAAGCGATTGCTACAGCTCCTTTCTTCTCTCTCTCTCTCTCTCTCTCTCTCTCTCTCTCTCTCTCTCTCTCGTATAATTGTAGTTTCTGAGCATAAGACTCATGCTGCATCAGATCAAGACTTAATCTCATCCAGCAACCTGTCCCACCTCCTCCACCAGTGGTCATCCAGGCACACCCTAGCAGCAGCCCCCCCCCTGCCCCCCATTGATAATCTGAACCTAGAGGGCTCCATTCAGCTACTATGATTGACAGAGTAATGCCTAAAGCATTTCTGCCCCTACTTTCCCACCACATGGGTGGTATTCAGCTGTTTTACTCAGAGTAGACCTGTTGAAATTAATGGCCCTAGCTAAGCCATGCCCATGAATTTTCAGTGAGTGTACTCGGAGTAAAACGTAGTTGAATACTGCT